GTTCTCTTACTTTGTACAGGACTCCAACAGATTTGGCTATCTTTGTTCTTAAATTATTTATATGATTTTTCTATGTCAGTTTTTCATCAATGATACTTCACTTCACTGACTCTAGATCTCAACATCATCAATTTTAAATGAAACATCTACAGTTCTCTTACTGTTACTGAATATCATACAATTTGTTTTGTCCAAGTTTAATGATAATTTATTTAGTTGAAACCAACTTTGTATTTTCACAAATTCTGTCTGTACCATCTCCAACGTTTGTTCTATATCTTTACCCGAACAAAAAACGCTGTATCATCAGCAAATAGAACACACCCAAAAAGTCCTGACACGTCGACCAAATCATTCACATAAAAAAAAACTTAGGTCCGAGAATGGAACCCTGAGGCACTCCACATGAGATGTTACAAAACTCAGATCTTACATTATTTATTTGGACAAACTGTTTTCTATCTTCCAAATAACTAGATACCCACTGTAATGCAGGTCCTCTAATACCACATTTATTTAGCTTTCCAAAAAGAAAACTGTGGTTAATAGTATCAAACGCTTTTTTTAAATCAACACACAATACTGTTTTTGGTCAGCAGCAGTTGTTATATGTCCTATATATGTCCAACGACAGCCATTGACGTAGATTTTTTTTGGTCTGAACCCACACTGACTGCTACTTAATATATTCTGTTTATCAATAAATTTGTCCAATCTCATCACAATTAACTTCTCTAAAATCTTTGAAAAATGTGGTAACAGGGATATTGGTCAGTAGTTGTTAAACACACGTTTTTAACCATTTTTAAAAAGAGGAATTACCTTTGCTATTTTCATGTTGTTTGGAAACATACTAGTTGAAAATGATAAATTACAGGTAAACAGTTCAATCACATAATTCATTATGTCTTTTTCAAATGTCATGGCCACGTAAACCCAGTCTTTTGATCTGTTGTCTGCAGGATTTTTTAATATATTCGTTATTTCTTCTTTGTCAGTTTCATAAAGAAAAACACTATTGGCACAACCTGTAACAGTGTGATTCACAT